TGCAACCTCCACCTCCCAAGTTCAAGTGATTCTCCTGCCTCAGCCTCCTGAATAGCTGGAACTACAGGCACATGCCACCACACCTGGCTAATTTTTTTATTTTTAGTAAAGACGAGATTTCACCATGTTGGCCAGGATGGCCTCGATCTCCTGACCTCATGATCTGCCCACCTCGGCCTCCCACAGTGCTGGGATTACAGGCGTGAGCCACCAAGTCCAGCCAACAGCTTTCGATTTTCAAGTCAATTTCATATGTTTCAACTTAATGCAGCCATAGAAACACTAACGCAAGGGTTGAGTGGGTGATCCTTTTTCCAGGTGACCAACTCGGTGGGTGCTCTGGCCAAAGCTGTCTACGAGAAGATGTTCCTGTGGATGGTCACCCGCATCAACCAGCAGCTGGACACCAAGCAGCCCAGGCAGTACTTCATCGGGGTCTTGGACATTGCTGGCTTTGAGATCTTTGATGTGAGCTGTGGCCTTCTACTTTCTTGTCTGCTTTGCTGAATCTCCAGTGTATTTTCCAAGGTCACTCAAATTCTTTGGTATTTGAATCACCCAGTTCAACAGCCTGGAGCAGCTGTGCATCAACTTCACCAACGAGAAACTGCAACAGTTTTTCAACCACCACATGTTCGTGCTGGAGCAGGAGGAGTACAAGAAGGAAGGCATCGAGTGGGAGTTCATTGACTTCGGGATGGACCTGGCTGCCTGCATCGAGCTCATCGAGAAGGTAGAGAGATACTGCTCCCCAGGACAGCTCCTCCTTGGTGGGGACCCTCCCCTTCTTGCTCTGATTCTTTTCTGCTCACAGATTGGTGCCCCCAGCCCTCAGGCTGCAAGCCTTCAGAAAGATAACTGAATGTCTTTGTGCAGAGAGAATGAATGTCCTAAATCTGTTCTGACACTTAAAAAGGTTTATGGGTCATTAAAATCCAAGGGCTCAGTTATCTGCAAGAATGTGATAGAGCCCCAGTAAGGACTGTGGCATTTCTTACCTATTTGACTTACCCAAAGACCCAAGGAGGTGGAACTGTGCAGCAGTGTGGCTCTTGGAGGGATGTTACTATGAAAACAGGAGTGGACATTAACTTTTTTTTTTTTTTTTTTGAGATGGAGTCTCGCTCTCTCACCTAGGCTAGAGTGCAGTGGCGCGGTCTTGGCTCACTGCAACCTCTGCCTCCCAGGTTCAAGCGATCCTCCTGCCTCAGCCTCCTGAATAGCTGGGACTACAGGTGCCCGCCACCACGCCCAGATAATTTTTTTTTTTTGTATTTTTAGTAAAGATGGGGTTTCACCATGTTGGCCAGACTGGTCTCGAACTCCTGACCTTGTGATCCGCCCACCTCAGCCTCCCAAAGTACTGGGATTACAGACGTGAGCCACCATGCCCGGCCGACATTAACTTTTTAAAAAGGAATTCTCATAACATTTGAGCACTGCTCATGTTGGAATGAGTATATCTTCCTAAGGTGGCTACTGAGAAATTGAGACATTATTGTTCAAAATACTACTCACATTACTTTATGGCTATATATGAAACTTTACTTTTTTTGTAAACCTATTGAAAAAAGTGTGCTACATTTACACACACATAATTTCATCCTATATTCTTTTGTTCAGCAGCTATTAATTAAGCACACACTTTATGCCTAGCAGTTTTTAGTCATCCCCCAAACAGACCAAGAGACTTGCTCCCCCAGAGCGTACATGCCAGCATTCCTAGTACCGGAGTGAAAGCACCAAAGAAGTTCTTTTGGCTTCTCCAGACCATGGAGCATGGGTATGCACTAGTATATGTGGAGGTGTAGACTCTGTTATCCTCTTTCCAGCCTATGGGCATCTTCTCCATCCTGGAAGAGGAGTGCATGTTCCCCAAGGCAACAGACACCTCCTTCAAGAACAAGCTGTATGACCAGCATCTTGGAAAATCCAACAACTTCCAGAAGCCCAAGCCTGCCAAAGGCAAGGCTGAGGCTCACTTCTCGCTGGTGCACTACGCCGGCACCGTGGACTACAACATTGCCGGCTGGCTCGACAAGAACAAGGACCCCCTGAACGAGACTGTGGTGGGGCTGTACCAGAAGTCTTCGCTGAAGCTTCTCTCCTTCCTTTTTTCCAACTATGCTGGTGCAGACACAGGTAAAATTCTATCATTTCTTTCCCTCTGTGGGACGTTCTATGTAATTACTTGTAACCCAGAGCTGCTCGTGAAGAATCTTGGAGGGATGTTACTATGAAAACAGGAGTGGACATTAACTTTTTTTTTTTGAGATGGAGTCTCGCTCTGTCACCTAGGCTGGAGTGCCGTGGTGCGGTCTTGGCTCACTGCAACCTCTGCCTCCCAGGTTCAAGCTTCAGCTAAACTTCAGACCTGAGCTTCAGCTGAGTATGATGTTTCTGTCTTTCAGCTCCATTTTTCTTCCTCCTGCTCTTATTCTTCCTCTTCTGTCAGAGATAGAACTCTATGGAGGTAAACAGGACTTCTCAGTGGCCACGATAGTCAACATCAGATTGTTTAATAGTTTTCTATTGAGGTATAATTCACGTATAATAAAATTCCCCCTTAAAACCATGTAGTGGTTTCGGCCGGGCACGGTGGCTCACGCCAGTAATCCCAGCTCTTTGGGAGGCCAAGGCGGGGGCCGATCACTTGAGGTCAGGAGTTTGAAACCAGCCTGGCCAACAAGGTGCAACTGCAACCTCCGTCTTCCAGGTTCTAGAGATTCTCCTGCCTCAGCCTCCCAAGTAGCAGGGACTACAGGCATGCACCACCACACCTGGCTAATTTTTTGTATTTTAGTAGAGACAGGCTTTCACCATGTTGGCCAGGATGGTGTTGATCTCCTGACCTCATGATCCACCCGCCTTGGCCTCCCAAAGTGCTGGGATTAGAGGCGTGAGCCACCGCGTCCGTCCCCATGAGCAGATTTCTATTCCTAGCCTCTGGCAACCACTCATCAACTTTCTATCTCTGTAGACTTGCCTATCTGGGCATTTCATGTAAACTGAATTATATACTGGATGCTCTTTTGTGTCTGGCTTCTTTCGCTCAGGCTACTGTTCTCAAGGTCTGTTCCTGTTGTAGATGTATCAGGACTTTGTTCTTTCCGATGGACAAATAATAGTTCATTGTATGAATAGATCACATTGTGTCTGCACATTCATCAGCCGATGAACTTTTTGGCCACTGTGCATGATGTTGCTATGAACATCTGTATAAAAGTTTATATGTGAACATATATTGGCAATTCTTTTGGGTATATACAGTACCTAGGAGTAGAGTTGCTGGGTCATATGACAACTGTGTTCAAAGTTTTGAGTAACTTCTGAACTCCTTTCCAAAGGGGCTACACAGGAGCCAGGTGTGGTGGCTCACACCTGTAATCCCAACAGTTTGGGATGCTGAGGCAGAAGGATCATTTGAGGCCAGGGGTTCAAGACCAGTGTGGGCAACATAGAGATCCTGTCTCTAAAACAAAACAAAACAAAACAAAACAAAATAAAATAAAATAAAATAAAATAAAATAAAATAAAATAAGCCAGAAGTGGCGTTGCACACCTGTAGTCCAGCTACTTGGGAACCTGAGCTGGGAGGATCACATGAGGTTGGGTGACTGAGATTATAGTGAGCCATGACTGTGCCACTGCACTCCAGCCTGGATGACAGAGTGAGACCCTATCTCAAATAAATAAATAAGTAACACAAGCCAGTATCACTTTTTAAGATTACCAGTAAATATACTTTTAAATAGTTACCAACATAGAGTTTTAACATTATATGCCATTTTAAATGCATACATTTAATAAATTCATACAATATATGAAATATAATTATTCATTAGACAATGAGATCTTTTTTTTTAAATGAAAGCCTAATATCCTCTGGTCAAGGGAGTGTAATAAATGGGAAATGGGCACATACGTAAACCTCAATGATGAAAATCATTTTCTTTGAATCTGATCACAATCTCTCTGTAACTACATTGCATAACCTCACCTAGACATAACATCAACTCTAACATAAGACCCTGTGTGGATGTGGATTTGGGGAAGCGGCTTTCCTGCCTTCCCTTCCCCAATCCAAACACACATTCATGCTAGACCCCGGGGACAAAGTGGGGTGAAGGGAAAGGAAGATGGGGGAGACCGAGACATGGCATTTTCCCCCAAGGCTGCATCTTGATTAAGTATCAGAGAAAATTGAGTCATTCGGAAAAAGTAGACTCCAAAATAAGACGGTAAGTTGCGTTGTTTCCTTTAGGAAAGAAAAAAAAATCAACTTATAAAATATTCTTGAGAAAATTCCGTGTTACTACTTTCAGTTACTTACTCATTTAGAGATAAACAGGGATTAAAGAAGAAAAGGAGGTAAATTCGTGAAAGAAACTACAAACATTGCCAGGCATGGTCGCTCACACCCATAATCCCAGCACTTCGGGAGGCCAAGTGGGCAGATCACTTGAAGTCAGGAGTTCAAGACCAGCCTGGCCAATATGGTGAAACCCATCTCTACTAAAAATACAAAAATTAGCCAGACATGGTGATGCTCGCCTGTAGTCCCAGATACTTGGGAGGCTGAGGCAGGAGAATCGCTCGAACCCGGGAAGCAGAGGTTGCAGGGAGCCTGGGCATCGCAGTGAGACTCTGTCTCAAAACAAACAAACAACAAAAAAAGAAAAAAAAAAAAGAAGAAAAGAAAGAAAGAAACTACAAACATTAAGAGGGACATCTCAATCTTGCAAATTATTCAGTTTGCTTTCAGGTCTGATTTCTAAAGGAAAGGACTCCCCTTTTATACTGAGAGTTTAAGTTATACTCTCAGTTAAATACTACCCACACCCCACTCCCACCTCGTTCCCACAATGATAAAGCTGAGGGTTCTCAATCCTGGATAGTTTGGAGGCATTTTAAAAACAAACTAACAGGCCAGGCACGGTGGCTCACACCTGTAATCCCGGCACTTTGGGAGGCTGAGGTCAGGAGTTCAAGACCAGCCTGGCCAACGTGGTGAAACCTTGTCTCTCCTAAAAATACAAGAATTAGCCAGGCGTGGTGGTGCGCGCCTGTAGTCTCAGCTACTTGGGAGGCTGAGGCAGGAGAATGGCTTGAACCTGGGAGGTGGAGGTTGCAGTGAGCCGAGACTGGGCCATTGTACTCTAGCCTGGAGGACAGAGCGAGACTCTGTCTAAAACAAAGAAAGAAACAAAACCTCAGGTCTCTCATGTCAAAAGGAAACCAGAACCCGGGACTGGGAAGGGGTGGTTCAGGAAGCCCACTCCTGGGTCCTCTGGGATACATCTGACACGCCCTTCTGTGTCTGTCTCTAGGCGACTCCGGGGGAAGCAAGAAGGGCGGGAAGAAGAAGGGCTCCTCTTTCCAGACTGTGTCGGCCGTGTTCAGGGTTAGTGTTTTGGTAGCTTCCACATCCGATTGTTTTTCTGCCCAGTGAAACGGCATTTGCTAAATGTGCTTGTTTTGGTTTATGTCCCAGGAAAATCTAAACAAATTGATGACTAACTTAAGGAGCACCCACCCTCACTTTGTACGATGCCTGATTCCCAATGAGACCAAGACTCCTGGTAAGTACCAGCAGATCTTGGCAAGTATTTGAACAGAACAGGCTGCCCCGAGATAAATGCAGAATTCTGTGGGTGTGCTCTTGGAAAGAGGGATGGTCTGTATCACTTCTGAAAGCGGTCTCTGAAATAGGGTTGCCAGATTTAGCAGATAAAAATACCGGATGTACCCAACACAAAGAAATGATCAATGTTTGAGGTGATGGATATCCCAGTTATGCAGATATGATCTTTGCACATTTCACGCTTGTATCAAAATACCATGTGTACCCCACAAATATGTTCAACTATTATGTGACCACAAAAATGTTAAAAACCGAATGCCGTATTAAATGTTATTAAATTTCAATTTCAGATAAACAATGAAAAATGTCTTAATATAAATGTGACCTATGCACTATTTGGAATATACTTCCTCCAAAAAAGTATTCATCGTTTATCTGAAATTCACATTGAATGGCACATCTGTATCTTATCTGGCACCCCTACTATGAAATCATATTCAAAATATTGTATGTATGTGTATAGGCACATCAGATCCACAGCTTTCATAAGATGAAGGCTCTGTTGGCCTCCTTTACCCCAAAGTTAAATACCACTACATTAGGTAAATAATCATCTTAGGTATCCCATAATCAAACTAGCATCAGTAACAACTGTTTGAGGCCGTACTTCATGTCAATCACTTTGTTATATGATCCCGAATCCTTGCAACAGCTCTCTGCAAGATACACGTATTGATCTCCAGTTTATAAATGAGAAAACTGAGAATCAGAGACTATGTATAAATGTAGAACCCCGTGCAATAGAGGGCTCCGTTCACCGTCACTTCATCCCGATTTGCAAACATTCTTGGAGTCTAGCTTTTTCAGTGTTATTTGTCACAAAAAGGAAAACCAACTGCCACGTGGAGCTGTGCCTATGGGGTAACGCGCTCACCAGCTGAGCTGTTCTATGCCCAACACGGACCTCCCAGTTCAGGATTAAACATCCTGCCTCTGCAACATTACAAGTAAACAGAGGTATAGATTGTCAGGGAAAAAAAATATATATAGTTCACCTATTACCACGTGACCCTAAGCAGAGCATCTGAGCATTTTCTGCCTCAGCTTTCTTGTCTATAAAACAAGGATACAAGTGGCATTTTTATCTATTATTTCCTTCTTCAATAAGCAGTCATAAAGTGGTTACTCACTTCGCAAGTATCAGCTCATTTAACCCACCTTAGAGGGTTGTCGTGAGGGTTCAATGAGTAAGTGCAAGTCAAGCATTTACAACAGGGCTGAGCACATTGTGAACACCCAGCAAACGTTGGATGTTTATCATTATTACTATTATTATCATCATCATCCTCAGAACTAGAAACTGTAACTCCCCAATAGCCAGGTGTGTTATAGTTAGTGAAATTGCATCTTCCATGAAAGTTAGGTTCTAAAGTCTAAGTCAAAGGTAATAACCAGCTACATCACTGTGATATGCATTATTTGGGGCATCCTGCAGCCTCCTGACCAGTGAGCCAGCTTCTCCAGTGTTGGGAAGAGTGGTTTCTTTGGTTAAGCATCACACAAAATCATTGGCTTTTATGTAGGTCTTGGAAAAAATCCATTTCCGTTACTGTCGGCGTTGAGTACACGCTTGCATAAATCAAGCACGCTTGTGGCCTGACTCCTCTCTCAGCAGATGGCCTGCAAGGTGGCAGGAGATGGCTTTAAACTGTACCTCTGGGAGGAAGGCTTTTGGTAATCCACTGGCTTACATTATTATTTTTTTTTTCTTTTGAGACAGAGCCTTGCTCTGTCGCCAGGCTGGAGTGCAGTGGCGCGATCTCGGCTCACTGCAACCTCCGACTCCCTGGTTCAAGGTATTCTCTTGCCTCAGCCTCCCAACTAGCTGGGACTACAGGCGCCTGCCACCACGCCCAGCTAATTTTTTGTATTTTTAGTAAAGATGGGGTTTCACCATCTTGGCCAGGATGGTCTCGATCTCCTGACCTCGTGATCTGCCCGCCTCAGCCTCCCAAAGTGCTGGGATTACAGGCATGAGCCACTGCGCCCAGCCCTACCTTTTCTTTGGGAAGGTAAAGGTTGCTGAAATGTCTGTCCTTTTCTGTTGTGTTTGCTTCTCCTTAGCTCCGGCACCTACCTCTCTGTTTTCATGTCCATTTCTGGGAATGGCCCAACACTGATACAGAAGCCTGGTGATACCTTAGAAAGCACCTAGTGTGTCCTCTTTATTTTCTAGAAGACTAGAGACTGTGGAGATTTCCATGCCTCACCCCAGGGCACCTAGAGCAGGGGCTGGGAGTCACAATCCACGATCAAATCTCAAGTTCCTCCCTACCCACAGGCACATACGGGATTTGCTAGTTGTTCTCCCAAATCCTCCGGGGCTTCACAGGCACAAGTCCCGTGCTTGTCTGCTGAACAGGGAACCCTCAGGAGCAGGCTCCAGCCTCTATTCCTCTCATTCTCCTCGTGCAGCAAACCTGGGGCCTGCTAAGTCTGTGCTGCTGGCTCACCAAAGGCTGGCTCGCTGCTGTTTTTAAATGTAGATTTTATTATTGTTAAGGGATGGAGAGGCCAACAGACCGGAAGATGGTTACCATTAAAAAGACAGTCATGGCTGGGCATGGTGGCTCACGCCTGTAATCCCAACACTTTGGGAGGCTGAGGCGGGTGGATCACCTGAGGTCAGGAGTTTGAGACCAGCCTAACATGGTGAAACCCCGTCTCGACTAAAAATACAAAAATTAGCCTGGCGTAGTGGTGCATGCCTGCAATCCCAGCTACTTGGGAGGCTGAGGCAGAATTGCTTGTACCCGGGAGGCGGAGGTTGCAGTGAGCCGAGATTGCGCCACTGCACCCCAGCCTCAGTGACAGACGGAGACTCCGTCTCAAAAAAAAAAAAAAAAGATGCAGTGCTCGAGAGGAGGGGGCCTGCCACAGAGGGCCATGAGGGGAAGCACCAGGGCTAGGTTTGGGGGTAGGGGAGTAAGGAGAAATCACAGGCCAGAGCCTTGAGGGTCGTTCCCATGGGATGGAGTCAGTGAGGAAGCATGAACAGGCCAAGCAGGTTCAGCACTGGCAAGTTTGAATGGTTTCAGCAGGCGTCAAAATGTAGGGACTTTCTCAAGTTGGCCGGTACCCGGGGCCCTGAGGTAACCAGGGCAGGGAAATATTGGCCCAGAGTGTAAGAGTCCTGTGAGAGCCTGACAAAGGCAAGGGTTGGGGGTTAAGGGCTTTGGATAGTTGGTTTGCATGTGAAAGATGTGCTTGCGGGAATTTGTTTGCTATCTCCTGGAATTAGCTAGCCCCCAGGAAGGGCAGTCTCTCCTGGGCCGGCAAGGCCCCAAGATGCCAGAGCATCATAAGATACAGCATATTTCAAAAGCATGGCGAACACCACTGCCCATGGAGGCAAAGATGGCTGGAGAAAGGAGTGGGATGGAAGTGATACACTTGGAGAAGTAAAGAGGAAAAACCCTTCAGCAATTGAAGCAGAAGAATGAGAGAATAGCTCAGGGAAATTTTTAGAAGTTTTGCACGTTGGTACAAAACCAAAGGAGGCCCTTTACATGGACCTGATAGAAAACAACTCAGGCCAGGTTTGAGGAAAAACAGAGCAAGCCCTAAGAGAACTCAGCTCGGGATTCCATGTCTGCACAAACCAGAGGGGCCCTGTGAGGGAGGAGAGTCCCGTATCGGCTCTGCTACGGCCTTGCAAAGCCCTTCACCTCTCTGGGCCTCAGTCTCCCCCAAGGCCCTGCCACCCCATAGGATGCCTCTGCAAGAATTAGAAAAGATCTCCCAGTCCAAGTGGGACACGGCCCTTAACAGGATGGACAGCCTGGCAAGCATGGTGGCAGCTCTGGCCTCCCCACCATAAAATGATGGTCCTTTCGGCTTTCTTCTGGCTCTAGAAGCTTCAATTCTCTTGTAATTATGCCTTTTTCTCTCTGCTCCCGGTGCTTAAGAAGAAAGAGGCCTCAGCCACATGGTTAAAGCAAGTGTTAATCATGCCTGCTTTCACCATTTTAACCTCTGTACTGATCTTTTCTCTCCCTCTCTCTCTCTCTTTTTTTTTTTTTTTTTCA